TTTCTCTGAGTATTTCCAACACATAAACACTGATATTTAAGTATAATTAGTAGAATTTTGTTTTTGGACGGAGAGACTGAACAGACTTTTTACTCTGAGGAATCATTGCGACAGAAATAGAAATTAAGCAGTGCTTTTTTTTTCATTTTAGAGACAAGCAAAGTAGTATTAAGAATTAATCACTGACAAGGATTACTGAAGTTTAAGGTGACAGGTTGTTGGCATAATGTAATGCACTCCAGACATCGCTTAGATAAGTCTGATGTAAGATTTACCTGCATGGCCCCAGTGATATCTATGGAGATGAGTCTTATAGTCTTGATCTCAGCTCCACAACGCCAGTTTCCTGCCATGATTATGACTCTGTATCTATGCTAATACAGGGATCAGTCGGGGTGAAAAGCTCATCTGGCTTGTGCTTTTTGGTTTATCTTATCACTCTGCTCACCCTGCTTCTCTCTGCACTGCCTCACCGCATACCTGCCATGCACATTAAAGAAAAACTGCCTCTTTACTCATTTTTTTAGCTCTCTTTCTGTTTCTTTGCTTAAAATGCATCTGTTCCTGTGCTACTTAAATTATGACTTGGTGCTAACCGATATTTTTCACTCACTGTGGCATTAAACCTTTGATGAGGTAAGTATATTTCCATTTAAAAAGCTTTAGTTTGCTCCCTGCTGCAGTAATCGGTGATCCATTGAATGCATCAGTCAAACAAACAACAACCAAAAAAACCATCCTTCAAAGTTTCCTTCCAAGTGGAAGGGTTTTGGTCAAGAACAGGTCAGTTCAGACAGTAAATCCTGTCTGACTTAACTGACACCCCCCTTCCTCCCTCTTACCCTCTTTGTCTCCATCGCGCCCACCCTCACTGGCACGATTATTTCTTATCATGTATTTATTTGTTTAATCCTCCCCTCCCCCCACAACACTTGGCGGCCCTCTGCTTGTGCACGAGCTGCCTGTCTGGCATCCTCCACCTCCCCCTACTTCTCCAAATCCACACCCATAGCCGTCCCATCCAGCTCAGGCCCCAGCCACAATGGGCGGATGTTTCTTCCAGAGCTTCACATGGTGGGGGACAAGAGGCCCCCTCCTTCCTATTTCATCTTCCCATCCCTCCCACTTGCATGTGGCCACCACTAGCTGCCCTACGTGCACACTTTAAATAATGGATGCATTAGCACGCATGAATATTGTTTTAGAAAGGGGGCGGGAAAGCCTTAATTCATTATTAATCCACTTCAAGGCAAAGTGGAGCACGGCTGCTGGGGTCCTTCGAAAGCTTGTCTGTGATGCTTCCCAAAAAAATGACGAAGTTCACAAACCAAGCTTTTTTTCTCACATCTCTTCCACATGGCCCTTTGGGCGCGACACTATCACTTCACAGCTGGACGATAAGGAAGCGTTTTTCCATTACAAGTTAGGAGTACATTTTTTCATCTTAACTAACAATCTGAAAAAGTATAAGTATCAGCTTTTGAGTTTAAACAGAACAAAGTTTTGAGATAACAGTTTCAAAGAATGAAAGTGCAAAAAAATCCCTTACCCCAAAATTTAAAAACAGGTTAGGGAGCATTAAGCCACACATGTGGGTGGAATGCAGGGAATTATATTATTTTTACTCTGTTTGGTATTTAGATTATTTCATCTAATAATAGCTCACTGGTTGGAGAGCATGTGTTTTAAAGAGATAAGTTACCCTTCACTGTATTAACCAGACACGGGGGCTTGAGTTTAAGTGTTGCAGCCATATGTGTTTATGAGTAAGACAGAAAATGTGTATTTTCAGTGTCAGTGTGAGTCACGGTAAACACCCCTTTACACCACACCCCTCTCTCCCACCACTAGGTTGCACTGCCTGCTTCCCTCCTGTCTGATGCCGATCCAGCCAATAGCATACAGATGACAAACCCACATGAGAACGACAGCCTATTAAAAAACTACTACAACATACACAGGGATGTTGTGCATTGGCTCCACGAACCCTTAAAACTCCACACAAACTGGATTCATGCGCTCTGTACACGAATCCAATATGAAATATAGTTTTCCAAAAATCAAGATAGCATAAAAAGTGGCTTGAAAGGGAGATTTTATTTTAAGCATTGTCCACTCTCCTTCCCCCAGCCTCATCCCAGGCCACTTTATTTAAGCAGAAGTTAAAATATTTCTTTGAGAAATGAAACTCTTATCAGGAGCTTAGACATCATTCATTTTATAAGATTTGTTTTGCTCAAACCTGCAAAGTTTTGGGACTCATTAACAGATTTTTAAAGGTGTCAAAATGAAAAACCAAAGAATGGCACAAGCATGTAAAAATAGATAACGAAATAAGTAAAATAAAAATAAATGGATAGATAGATACAGAAATAAATGAGCAAACAAACAAATAAACAGATAATTAACTAAATAAATATTGCAGCTCTTTGCAACTTTACTTTTGCAGTCTTTCTTTTCACAAAAACACCAACAAAAAAATTATACATGTTGGACACCAGCTTATATTTGTCTTTTATTTTTTGTTTCTGAGTTTTTACTTGTTTAAAATAATTAAAAACAATTAATTTAATTTATTAGCAAATGTGGGAAGGATGGGAAAGAATAGATGTTGTGATTCTGAATAAAATTGAATATTTTTTTAAAAGTGCTTATTGTTACTGAGGACATTAACCCATAAAACATTTATCTTTAGGATAAATATGTTATGGGTCATGAAGGTAACTGTAATCATAAATCAAATCATGATTTCCATCGTAGTTTTAAATTGTGAAATATTTTGGACTGTTGGGTTGTTTTTCACTGGAGGGGGTTGTCTGCTCTTGGTGACTGAGAGGTTAAAGTTCAAGAGGAAAGAAGAGTCATTGTGACCTTGGAAGAGGAAGAAAGGAAAATGTAGTTGAAACCACTATTACAATTTTAAAATATATTTTTCTATTACTGAGCAGCCTTCTTTATGCTGGGGTGTTTTCCAAGCAAGTTAATTGGTAAATGGTAAAATGGGATTCTGCTAATGTATAAAATATTGTGTTTTATTTAAAAAGACTGTTTTGAGGGTTGAAAAACGTATCTTTTGGTGACTCAGATGTGGCCGTTAACGACCAAATCCTCCTGTCACATGCACTTTGAGCATTTTTGAAATTATATACACTCAGGCTGCTGGATGTCAGAGTCCATCACAATACTGCCTCTCAGTCAGAACGGAGGCAGCAGGGGTTATGTTGCTAACACATGGAGGACCGGGGTTTCTGGAATGTTCACAGCTTAATTTTTGGATTTCAGGCTCTTGGCACGAGGCTGGTGTCTGGTGTTGAACTCTGTAGGCACCACACTGCTCCTGTGAACTTTGATCAACCTCTAAAATACCTCTTCCTGAGCAGGAAATTGAAGTATTGTGAAGTATTGGCATGCTGATGGTCATCTATCTCAGGGGCCTGGAATGAGATGGAGGTAAAAGTGAAAGGAGACCCTCTGTGGATCAGAGATTGGCTGCTGGGTCTGAGTTCAAAGGTGAAGAGGAGAGACCTGGACTAGGAAATAAGATAGTCATCACTTTGCTGCACTGCATCTATACTCTGGGTTTGAACATTAGAATAGGACCTGAGCGTTTTAGGAATAAAAAATATGTTATGGTTCCTGACTATTACACTTCTACGTCAGCATAATATTATTTATTTTATTGGGTCTATTGCATATTGTTGTAGGATAAATGTTGTGTTTGTGAAGAATCTTAGGAAAAGCACAGATAACATTTGTACTGTGAGTGATAAGGCTCAACCATGGGATGGCATTCCACTAAAAAAAAAGTTTTCTATGACTTTATTCCTATATGTTGATACAATTTAGGCACTATAAAAAGGAAAAATATATAATACTCTTTTAGCTGATGATACTGAAGCTTGTATCTGTTTTATAAATTCCTTTTTGAAACTACATAAAGATGTTATTCCTACTTTTTTAGGGAACCAGGAGAACTCCTGATCATTTCACATAAAACTATGGGTGATAGGTTATTCCTTATTGAAGAGAAAAGAATAAAATATACATCTCACATGTAAAAATACTAAAAAAAACATGTTTAATAATTATTTTATAATTAGGATCAAAATGGGTTGAGAAAATTAGGAGAAATATAAAACATTACCTGAAACATGGATGAAATTATCGAGTTATTTCTAAACACAGATTAGAGTCGTAAAACTTTAAATTTAGCCAATTATTTTGAATAAGGCTACCAGACACAGAAGAAGACCCATGCATAGAAGAACTGCTGTGGGAAAAAGGCCGATAATTATTGAAGTTTATCTGCTCCTAACTAAGCTTTTCAAAATTGCATGGATGTAACAAAATTGTATGCTTACAAATCCAGATACTGCTAAAAAATCGCCCTGCCTTTACCTCTCAGAAATAATTAACCCAGAATAAAATGCATTTTCTCACTGAGAAATTAATCTCAGAAAACAGAACTAAATGGTAGTGAATAAATTGCTTCAAGGGCCTGTTAGAAATATGATCAGGGTGGCTGAAATTTTTTGTTTTATTTAAATTTGACTCCATCAAGCATATGTGACATTTTCAACAAAATATTTTCTCAGTGTCCTGAATGCATTGTTGGTTAATTCTCATTAGATTTCATCAAATATGCATGATGTAAACGCAAAGTGTTATGATTCCACCCTCATTACATAACACCGGCCGTAAATGCGTACAGCGCAGCAGGAAATGAACGTCTCCAGCGCATCACAGGGGTGTAGGAGGATGTGGATGTGACTGTGTATCATGTAAAAGTGAACAACGTCCTTATAGCGAGTAATGACAGAGAGGGGCTGTCGTTTTAAAAGAGCATCGCCCGTCTCCTCTGGGGCTTGAATTCTGCCCTGAGGTGTGACCTTGTGAACTTGGCTCTGAATATCCCCAGTCCTGTCTCTCCGGACATCCCTCCTCATCCCTGGGCTCTACTGCCCAGGCAGGAAGTGACATCAACGGGTCCAAACTAAAAATATGTCGCAGGACGAGCTGGTTTGGATGTCCAGGACCGATGTTTGTTTAAAAAGGAGGATGCCTCCCACAAGGTGATGCTCCCCTGAAGGATGTAGCAGCGTGCCACGCTGGGGAGGCAGACAGACAGACAGACGAGCGGGGCTGAGTGAGTCGCCTGCTGGCTGTGTGCTTTGATGCCGTCACTTTCATTCATGCAAGTTCAAATATGGTGCCATACTTTGCCCCCGTCTGAGCCGGTGACGCAGCGCGATAAGACTTGGACCGAGGAATTTAGTCGCGTTGCTCTTCAGAAACGGGGCTTGTTGGCGTGTTGTCTAGTTACAACAAGACAGGAAAGAGTCCTGAATGGCAACTGCAGGGAGAGGAAAAGATAAGACTCGAAGTCAGTCGGTGCGCTTTTGCGCATTTATTCCCCCACAATTATTTCGCGGATTTAGATGCAATCTTTAGAACCCAACAATAGAACAGCTGAAAAAAAAGTGTCTCATGCAAAGTTTAAATATCTCGACGTGCGTCACATAGCTCTGGAAATGTCTCTTTAATAGTCGAACTGTCATCTCCGTCCGGTGCTTGTGCCTCGTCCTCACCAGGGAGGCTCTGACAGACCCTGCTGAGTCCAGGCTGAGCGCTGCAGTCACGTGGTCCCTGTTATTATCCGCCCTTACGTCAGGTGCAGCCAATGTTTGGACGTTGTGTCATGGAGCGTTTTCCAATGGGGAGGAAAAAATCTGCTACTCCGAATAGAACTCTGGACAAGAAATAAGAAACCACTACAGAGCATTTTTCTGATTCTTTTTTTCCATCAGTGCATGACTGACAGCCAATCCATCCCAGTGAATCTCAACAATAATTTTACTCAAACATATAGTGTAGTGGAAGTACTTTGATCTTTTTTACAGATTTTTTTTTGTCTCACTTAAATATTCATTAATGAACAAAAGCGATCCAAAACATTTCAGATATGATGGAAAACATGCTTACAGTCAATATTACTGACCACATCATAAAATCATCATTCCAGAGCAAAGAGCATATGGAGTAAAATTTAAAACACACATATTTAGTGAGTAGTACTCATTTACCCCCCTAAGTAATGTTTAGCTCACCGCACAACTTAACTGGCTGTATAAATAGTAGCTGCATTTCCATTACAAATGTGCGCAAATCTTTGTCTATATTTATATTTCTACAAATGTCAAAAAAACATAATTTTGCAATTGCAATGTTTCCATTAAAAATAAATGTAGATCACACTTGAATGAGGTTGCTCAGGCGATAATTGAATAAAAATCATGGCAGCCATGGATGTAAACAGTGACAAGAAATATTCATATCTCCAGCATGGCGGTGGCGCTCAGCATCTCTGGCGTCTTTTTCAGGTGTTGGAAAGACAAACCCCTTACAGAAGAGCTACAGAAAATAATAAAAAAGATAATTAAACTATAAATTACGAAGAAGGTCGTGGTTCTCGTCGCCATTAATAACGTCCAGCTGTTGATCACGTGACTTGCGCGATGCGGAAATAGTGTTTCCATTGCAGTTTTGCGCAATGTCTATGTCGATACGGCTGTAAAAACACTTCATCCCAGCTCAACAAAGTGAGTTTTGTTTCGGAAATGGCCGTGTTTCCATTAATGGAATATATTTTTGTCATTTCAATTTGCGCAATTCTATGATAAACAACAGTTTTCAGGCAGTGTCACCAAGATCTCATTTTATTTTGAACTGGAACACAGAGTGAACTGTAACACTGAAAACACGACAAAGCTTTTTGGACTACCTTGTTTAAAACAATGTAAAGACTTTTCAATCTGATAAGACTTGACTTGGATTCTAATTCCTGAAGGCAGAGGAACCAGATTTTTCACAGATTAACCTTCTCTGTCACAATATGATAATCATTTTTAATACATTTGTAAAAAACACATATATATTTTTTATAAAAGTTACATACTGCAGCTTTAATATTTAAGAAGAAATCGATTGAATGTAACGTTCCTCATGTGTCAGCGTTTAAAGACACTTAAAGACAAGTCCTTGTGTTGTTGTCTCTACATCTCAGACCCTTCGTATAAGTTCACTGATCTGACCAAAGAAAGAAGGAAAAGTTTTAAGATTTAAGGTATTCAATCAGTGATAGTCGACTCTTCTGCTTTGTAAAATGATACATGAGCTTTACAGTAGAGCTACTACTGTACGACCACATCTGGCGCGTGTATGGAGAAGCCTGTGGGATTACTGGTGTATATAACTCATGCCGCCGTTGGCTGCCTGTTTGGAGCGATAGCTTCATTATTCATGGTTGCGTGTAGACAGGAGAGCTTAATCTCTGGGCAGCCAGTGACTGGAGCTAACTGCCTGTGCATGGTCAGCCTGTTCTGGTTCTAGTTAAGGAAAGAGGGAAAGAAAGTAAACAGAGAGGAGGACAACTGTTGAGTAAAGGGGACATCAGTTGAACACCCTGTAGCATTGTGGCATTTGGTCCTGGCAGTAATTAGCCACACTGGACCTGTGGGAAGAGCTGTATATTCTTGTCGCTGAAAGGGCCGTGGCAGGGGGCCTTTTGGTGCTTGACAGGTGCAGCGTGAGAACGGCGTCAGGAGTTTTGGGGAATCGAAACCAGATCCGAGGCCAAACGACGGTGTCTCTAGCTTGTGGGGTCAGGTGTTCTATTTGACCTCTGGAGGCCCTAAAACACAGACAAAAATCATCCTTTTGTCGCATAGATAATCAGCATAGACAGCTCATCAAATATGAAATATTAACTTCAGTGCATACTGAAGAATCAAACATGTAGTCTGTAGTTAATATTGGATTGTACATGAGGGAAAGTTGGTTTGTGAGATGTTTAAAACATCTTCCTGCTTGTGATGGCGCTTTAGTTAATAAATCATCGTTTATGTCCAGTCAGCGAGGGGGTTAAGATGCGATCACAAGGACGTGCTTGGAGTTGCGGTTTTCCCCTGTCCAATTTTATCTGACTCTCACTTGACGAAATTGGGAACGCTTTTCGGTTAAACACCCATGTGTCTGATAGTATTAAACAATACTTCAGAAGAAGCTTTGATCATTCAGCTGTGATGGCAGTTCAACAAAAAAAATCTCGCCATGATGTGTTTTGACATGTTCTTGATGCCAAGAGTCTGCTGTGCAGCAAAAAAAAAAAAAAAAGTCTTAGAATAATCTGGAATGCTTCTGTACTGTAAAAGGGAAACACACAACTCATTGTGCTGGCCGTTAGAGGGAGGAAAAGCAGCGGCACTCACCATGTCATGTTTTTTCTCGCTTCCTGCCTGTAATGCTTGAACTCCATAATCCCGGTTACAGCCATTACAAATCCTGCTGCCTTGACTTTAGACCCCAGACAGGAGACAGGCTCTGCAACTTGGTTTCATTTAGCATTCCTCTGAGCTTTACGGGCAGGTGTTTAACATTACTGGCAGGATATTTATTGGCAACTTTAAAGGCAACTTTTTTGCTTACCTCTCAATTAGAGTGCACACAAGTACAATGCGTTCACTGTAGGTGGAAGCAGCCACACAAACAAGCACGTGGTTGTGGACAAAAACAAAACAGGATGTTTCAGTTATCACTTCTTTTATGCATTCAGAAAGAATTTTGTGGTGCTGAAGGACATCCTCAGGATATCTCCAATCTGTCGGCACAAAGCAGTGCATGCACGTGATGATTATTTTGACAATTAATAAAATAATAATTATTATTTAATAATTTAATAATAATAATAATAATTGGTACCCTGTGCTGATTTTTTACTCAACCGGTTGAGTTTATTTTATTCAACTTTTGAAATACACAAAAATGCAAATAAACAAAAAATTCACTTTGTTTTTTAGATGAAATAAAAACTATTGCCTAAAATGCAATAACTTTAGCTTCAGTGAATACTTCTAACATTAACGTGCAAAAATAAGTTGCCATTCTTGATTTAACATGAAATTTTAGTGTCTGTATTTACAAGTTAACAGTTAGATCACTAAATTAGTTGATGATTATTTCAATAATCCGAATTAACCTGATTAATTCAATTAACTGTTTCAGTCGTAGAATGGAGGAAAATGATAAATGGTGTTCAGAATTTCAACAACCAAAATCTGAAAAGTGCAGCATACGTTTGTGTTTATCTCTGCTGAATCAATCCATTTTGTCATAGTTACAGTTGCATGCCTTTTGTTGTGCCTCTACCTGCTTAAAACATTTTCCCACCTCAGTAAGACTGGATGAAACTACAGATTCTCAGTTGAATCTGGGTCTGGACCTTGACCGGATCATTTCTAGAATGGAGCTCGTTCTGATCTAAACAGGCCATTTGTGTCGTTTATGGTCAAGGGTTCGTTTAGGATGGTATTTCCATCCATCTCACTGTCAACTATGAACAGATTCTCCACAGCATGATGCTTCCACCACCATGTTTCTCCAGGGATGGTGTGTTCATGGTTTTGTTCAGTGGTAACTCTAGTTGCTGTCCCACAGAAGTTCCTTGCCCAGCTTGTCAGTTTAGATGGATGATCATGTCTTTGGGGGTTTGAAGTTGTGCTAAGCTCCTTTAATTTTCCGATGATGGACTGAATAGTGCTTTGTGAGATATCCAAATCTTAGCATATTGCTAAATCATCTAACCCTGCTCTTATCCTCTACATAACCTTCTACCTGACCTCTATGCTGTGTTTTTTGGTCTTCATGATGTTATTTGTTGATCTGAGCACCCGAACTGCTGTTTTAAGATATTTGAAGCAGGCTCACTGTTTAATCATTGGATGATTTCTGAATCCTGTCGGTTCTAATGGGTTTTAGATGGGGGTTATCAAATTAAAGGCTGCTTAATACAAATGCATGACACTCTTTAAAAGAAAATGAATAGTTATAGATTATTATCCTCCAATTTAGCACCATTGGGTGTTGGTCTGCCAAACGAAATCCAAATAAATACATTGAGGTTTGTTGTATCCTGCAATAATTTTAAAAAGTTGGCTCGGTGTGAGGACTTTGGCCCCCCATTGACCCTGCTCCCCATTCCCATCCACCTATTATGCCAGGTTAGTTTATGATGCGATCTTTAGAGTTACAGGCTTGATAGGATGTGTAGCCTATAATTACCAAACTTTAGCAGTCCCAGTGGCTGTGATCTGAAATTCTCAAATCAAGGTGCCGCCTGAAGTCTCGGCCAGCCTCTGCTGCTGCTGTTGCCCAATGCTGCTTGATTACTGGCAGCTGGGTGAGCCATGTCAAGAGGTTGGCCGGGGAAATGTGAAATCCCAGATAAAGCACAGAGCCCTAAAAGCCATGAAGCTCTAGTAATGAGGAAAGTGATGGAGTTTGGGTTTTGGGTGTGCTAAGCAGGCAGACACCAGCCAATAGCCTCCCTTTCAATCTGTCTCCCTTCATGGTGTTTGTGAGAAAGGGAGGAGAGGCTAAGGTGTTTGTATATTTGACTTTTCTAATCCTGGATTATAGAGGCATCTGCAATACTCTCACATTGTGAAAGTTGTGGGCAGGTCAGCATTGCTCTATATGCCCAGACGAAATCCTCCTGGGTTGTCCTCAAACATAAATCATAAACACAGAGCCTATCCTGCCAGTGCTTCTCATGTTTCCCAGGGTCAGTTCCTTTGAAAGTAGCTGTGAACCCTTTGTAATGTGGCCATGGTCATGAGAAGGCGGAATGATTCCCGATATTAACGGCAGCCTGATTTTGAACAATTCTGGAGCTGCTGTAGTTGTTAAATGCATTCCTAGTTTTGTGGAGGCCATTATTCCTGCTTTTTAATCACCCATTTGGCTTTTATAACCTCCCCAAGCCTCAGTGTGTGGCTAAGGGGAAACCACATGTAGGCGGAGAGCATGGCCTGTATTTACCAAACAGCTAAAAGTCAGATAGTTGACTACAGTAAAAGATAAAAGCAAAAATCCACAACATATTATCGAGTCATAAATATAAAACAGACTCAAACATTCTCCAGGAATTGTTCATGCTGCAGCGTTTAAAATGCAGGACTTGTTGTATTGTTCTACTGCATTTTTAATAATTAATTTTAAGTTAATTATTTAAGTTTTTTTTCCTTGACAATAAAAAAAAAAATTTAATCTGGTGATGCTTTTCTTCCTAAGCATCCACTAAGCACCCCTTTGTCTGCACTTGACAGCACAACAATAAATAATTTGTACAAAGAGATTGTTTTCAGTTCACCTTGTCAAACAGCAGCAGAGTGTTTTCCAAATGAATTTTTTTCATAATTTCTTTTAAAATCACAATTTCCCTTCGTTTCTGGAGAGTTCATTCAAACCCAGTGTGCTTTCTTTGTTTTAAATGTTCATCTTGTATGTGCAGCTTGTCACAAAGAACTCGCGCACGTTCTCGTGGTTATTTTACTTTATTTTAACAACCCTTGATGTTTTTATTTTCCTGAAAAGCAGAATACTTTTGCAAGTTGTTTTCAATAGTTTGTTTGTTTACTTACTAATTACAAATGCCTAATTACCAAAAATCGTATTAATAGAAAATTAGATTTTATGAGGACTTACCTAAGATTTAACAGGTAGAGAGGATTATTAATTTTCTTTTATTATAAAATGTAGTAAATGCAACAAACAAATGTCCAGCCATTTTTAAACTCTTCTAATTTCGTTAATTAAAATTCTGTAGTGATATGTACTTTGGACACATGTTGCTGTTGGTAACCTTCCTGCATGTATTTTGTGGCTGGAAGCAAATAATTTCATGCCTGAAATTATTTTGGTTGAACTTTAATTCGGGTCACATATTTGAAGTGCTGCTTTTGATGTACTCCCCCTTTGAATAGTGCATGTGTATTGGGATGAAGGGTGTGAAATTCACAGTGTCCTGCCACAAAAGAACAATCTTTGTTAGCTTTGCTGTGATGTCACAATCTTACTTTGCTATTTTTTTTAAACTTAATGCTAATCTCACTATATTGGAATTTTAAAAATGATCTATGGGTGGCCTCCAGTGGTCAGAAAATTATTAGACAAAATGTACAAGAAGTGCCTGTACTTTTCAGCTTTAGTTTTAGGCATTGAGGGGACATAGGTGAGTGTAGCTGATTTTCACAGTTCTGTTCATTCTGCAGTATTCACAGGGATTTGGCGAGTAACCAAAGTCTGCAAATAGTTTAGATCCCCCTTCAAAAATTTTCTAGTTGCATATTTTAGTATTTCAGACTCCAAATATACCTTATGTCTTATGTCTTATGTCTGCACTTGGTGGCGCAGCCAAGAATGGCACTTTGGCTGCTTTGGAAGTGCCAGTCAGTAGCATCTAGATACATCTAGGTTCCCAAGTTGCATTTTGATTTGAATATTTTAGTTACATTCCAGAGAAACAATCTGTAAAAAGGTGGGGATGCACAGTGCAGGACTAGGAATACAATTTCTGTATTGGTGGTGTATCTGCAGTTAAGTTGACTCTACGGACCACAATCTATCTCGCCACTTCTCTTACTTCATTCATCTCCTCTCATTAGCTGTACTCAGGTCTGTAGGACAGTAGAAGAGATCGGGAGGTGTGACAAACAAATTTGCTGTCCCTGACCTATTGTTCTGAGTGCTTCCTTTTGCTTTAGCTCAGCTCTGTGCTAACAATCCGTTTTATGCAGCCAGCCTCCAGACCGAAGCTGACAGCATGTGTGAATTGGCTTGTCTTGCTGATGTTGCAGTTACAGTTATCCAGAACACCTGGGCGCTCAGACACCAAACAGACTCACCAGTCTGACGTGCTGTCAGGATGGGCTCGGTGGCATGATTTACGCAGGTCACAGTCACGCAGACTGTTTAACTGAGTGGGAGTTGAGGGTGCATGGAGTCATTGCTTGTTTACCCTGTGCCTGATGGCCCCCCACCAGCAGCTACAGCAATTATCACCTTGAAGGAATGTGGAACCCTTGTGTTAAATTCTCTTTGACCCCCTGATGTAGGAGGTCAGGAGGTTGGGCGCTCTCTCCAGGGGTGGGTGAGCAATGGGATGCGTGTGTGGTTGACAAAAGTCAGTGGGCGTGGGGGTTAGTGCTGTGTGTGTTTATGCATATGTAGATTTAAAAGACCCCCTCCCTGCTCTCGATCCAGCAGCCAATCCCTACACCTGCAGTCCCCCAGCAAAGCAAACAAATTCTACATTCGGTTTCTGCAAAGGAAATTAGTTTCTAAAGATCTTCATTTGACTTAGATTTACCCCAAAGGCTTTGTTGGAGGAAACGTGCAGCAATATTTTTCGGTGTGACAAAGTGGTATCAGAGGGTAGCTCTCTGCCTTCACCTTGCACTTGAAGTTCAGCGTGTTAAATGATGCTTTTCACACTTTTCTCGTATCAGTATCACACAGAGGAAGCTTTCACCAACGACTCCAACCACTAACACAAAGTCAATTCTTCTCCTCATTATTTTAATGTGTTTGTCTCAAGCTGTTTTTAGTACACAAGTGTAAATCACAACTTTCCAAGTAAGTGTAGGGCACTGAAAAGAATTGGTGTTAGTGTGCACGCTTATGAAAGCAAATGGAGGAAAAGGTGAGAGGAGAGTGGGTTTAGATATGAGAAGTCTGATACATCTGATGCTTTTTCTTCTATAAAGGAATAAAGATGTGAACATATGACATAGCAGAGGACAATGCATCTTTTTCCATCTAACTGCTTTTTATTGACTTTAAATAACTTCATCATCATCGCAAGTAGTATCGTATAATAAATGGCGTTTAAATTTATCACACATTTTTTGTGCCCGTGTTTAATGCTTGGAGTTTATGTGACTTTATCTCTTCTTTTACAGGTTCTCTGTCGTCTGCTGTTTAATGAAAGGAATGGTACGAGGTGTCAACGTGTTTCAGAGGTAACACACCAAAGTCTGCCTCAGATGTCGGTATTCATGTAATAAATCATTTCTGTCTTTGGTGATGTATTGCTGGAGGTAATTTTTTGGCTTTTGATTTGCTTTGAAGTCTGCAGTGGGACATAAATGTCTTTCTGAGATGTCTCGCTGATTTGTGCCTCAATTTCTCCAGGATTAGAAACTTTTTTCTGTCCTAACTGGTTCATGTTAAGCTGTGTGTTGTTTAACTGAAGTGCAGCCACCCTTGAAAAGTGAAGGCCCTTACACGTTGTGACAAACTAGAGTATCCCCGCAGTGTCATCAGATCACAGCGTCACTTCTCATTAACCATCCATTCAGGCCATTTTTTTTCACACAACCAGCAAAACTGATGGACAGCAGCGGCTTTGGTCAGCATCTAAATCTTTTTAAAGGTTATAAAGAGTGTTCCTCTGTTTCAAACTAAACTGTTATATTGGAGGTGGCTGAAGTGAAGTGGGGTGGGAGGTTTAACTTCGCTGTTTTTTGAGAAGAAAATCTTTGAAGATTATTAAAATGTTTGTATGATAATAGATCCAGTTGCATGTCTATGGTAGAAAAGATCACTATGCTCTTTAAATTTCCAGGCACATAGTTCCGTTTTAAAGCACAACCTTGTAACTATGCTACCTTCAGTTATAAAAATGCTGTGTATATCAAACATAACTTAAAAGAACTTTGACTTTGCAATTTCATGCCTTGAAATTGGGCGTCTGTGTCTTTAAGAAGCTCCTGCTCTTTCTGACATTCAGCACTTCATCACAACAATGCTACTCCATTATGCCATTTACAACCAGGAATATGTCTGCAATGAGAGGTTCCTCAGCAGTGTGTTTGCTTATCACTGCTGCCACTAGTCTAGAGGAGCTGTGTGCAAGTAGCACTTTGTAGGTAAATGTTACACAGTTTGTGTCCAGGCTGTGTGAGATCTGCAAGGGAAGTCAGTTTCCTGCTTCCTGATCTTTGACCTTTTCAAGTTCTGGATGGAGGGAAGTTTTATGCTTAAATTATTCTCCATCATATCTGGATCATATTGAATCACTTTCATTTACTTTTCTGTGAGTGATTTCACATTGAGAAGTTTTGTAGCATTTCATTGACACATGATTTTGTGCCACAAGGTCTTTGCACTCCCAGAGTGGAAAATGCTAGACTTTTCTAAGTGTTGAAAAATGATAAAACATGAAACTGTTTATTTGAACATTCATTTGTGCTTATAAACAACTCCAGGTAAATAATCTTTTTAGTTAGGTTTCTTAGAACAAATTCTAACAAATTTGTCTTAAAACAAAGAATTAACAGTTATGCCATGAATGATCAACGCCATATTTTATGTGGTTTTTCCCTGAATCTGATCAGTTGTAAGATTTCTATATGTCTAAATGTGAATCATGTCTATTAATCTGTATTAAATTGTAGAAAGGTGTGCAAGAGCATAAACAGATATTAACGCTATACTCTATTAACACTTTTAGAAAAGCTTTTACAATTTTCTTTATTTGGCAACTAATATTACTTTGTAATTCATTTGTAATTGCACATTTATCATTTATACATAGATATATGTTGTTCTAAGTTTAATAGTCCTTTTGGTGACAAGTGTGCCTATTACTCTTTTGGGGAGGTGCTTATTTTATGCTTATTTTGTGTTGCGTTCCTCCCTTTCAACTGCTTGAATGTCAGAATGACTGAATTTGCCTTATTGTTGTGTACCAGGGCAAAACAACAACACAAAGCACAGCATAAACTCCCTCTCTGCATCTTTTTGTCTGCTTGATAGCCTGACTTTAAGCGAGCTCCCCCTCTCACCCTCGCTCTGCAGACTTCTGTTTCCCTCTGCACACTCACTGCCGCGGCACTCATCCATGAGCAATACACTCATTCACACGCGCTCTCGCATGACTACACAAATGCACAAACAGGACTTCGACCCCAACTGGCTCACGCACACAGAGGACGTTCACTCAGGAATTATCGTGGTAGTAAAACTGGAGAGGAAGAGTTGGAAAGAGATGAGGGGGGGTAACAGAGGGAGGGAAATGAGTGTGACTGCCCTAACATAAGCAGTTTTTCCCCAAGCAGTTTTTTTAATGTGGTCCATGTCTGTGACCCATTCATGAAGACAAGCTATTGTTTTGTTCTGCAGCAGCTACAGCTTGCATATTTAGAGAAGCAGAAGTTAAATTAGTTGCTTTTTAAGAAAAATTCTTTTTATGTTCAGTCTCCATAATTTTAACTAACAGAAGAGTTAAAACAGTGTGATTTGCATTGCAGGTGTGCAGTATCTTCTTTTATTCCCCTAAAGTGGTTGCAAAGCTTACTCATGTGGTGCTTTGAAGGATGTGACAGACTTGTTCTTGAGTGTGTTGTTCTGCTCTTCTCACTTTTTTCTTTTTTTCTGCTGGTACATCTCTGACTCTCACTGCGTTTATATGCGTGTGCGTGCGTGTGTGTGTGCGCGCGTGCGTGCATGCGTGTGTGTGCTGTCTGGTCCGCTGCTTTGACACAAAAAAAGGAAGACCAGGCCGCCCCGTTCTTTGTTTTGCTTCTTGTAGGAAACTAGCAGCAAATTGTGGCTCAATGAGGCGTTGCTGTTTTGTATAGTCTGATAAAGTGCAAACCAAACCGTCTGGGCAGCAGTGTTTTCCATTGTAGCTCGGCCTATGAATGTAGGTCTGTGTGATGGTTGGTTAGTGTTGAACATTAGGTGATTGAGCGTGGTTGTGGTAGTGGTTGGACAGGGTGCAGGGGGTGCAGGGAGCCATTCACTCAGTTTTAAGATGTCACCCAGTGTTTGGAGCGGCTGTCCACTGTGCTTAATTGTGATGAGGGGTAATTAGAGCCCCGCTTAAGACTCTTGGAGAGTTTTCTGTTTTCAGTGTCTTCGAGGGTTTCAAAATCCCAAGATATGGAGTTCTCTGTAGAGGCACCATGACACACTTGTCAAAATGATCAGAGCAGGGCATATGTGTGTGGGTGTATTTATGTGCCCAGTGGGAAATATCCAAGTTTTTTACTTCAATGAGTTCTTCCAACACCTGCAGTAACTACTTAGGTTGAAAAATGAAAGGAACGATAGAAAGAATGTGCAGTAATGATTGTTTTTAGCCCCTTTCAAAATGAGCTTGCACAAAAGGATAAAAAGTTATTTTAAATGAACCCGTGGATTTGACTAGATTATGCCGTGATCAGGCTTTTCCTGGCCAATTTCAATGCCTGATTTTCTTTGAGGTTTAATTTTTAAAGATTTGGTTTTTTCACACACAAACTTAGCTGCAGGATCACTAATTGATACTTTAGGGTTGTAACAATAAATGAGGGAATTACAAGGTCACCCACAGTTATGCATCTAAACATATTTCCCTTACTTTTATTTGATTATTTATTGCCTTTTATTGTTCAAGGTCAAGGTTCTTGTTGTACTTCTCTTTACTTGCATGGCTTTAGTCAAGTTTTCCCTTCAGAAGTGTTTACTTGTGGTCTGTATCGCTGTAGCAAAAACATTTGAACAGCGAATGAAACCCATGAAAGTTTTTTAGAAAGACCACAGCAAAACCAAAATGTCAAGCTGATTTGTACAGAAATTGGGTTTTTGGTGAGGATTTTAAAATGCTTTACATACAGACAGAGGTGATTAAAAATGATTGCAGTAGCCCAGCCATGTTTCCATTAACCATATAACTGCACAAATTGAAATTATGAAATAAATTTGCTTAATGGAAACAGAAATGTTGAAAAAAGTCATATTTGTCAATGAACAGTGTTTGCTCTAGGATGAAGTGTTATTTTCCAAAACTGCAACGGAAACACTTGTGAAAACCATGAAGATGACAGGAAGCAGCATGAGGAAAATGATTTGTTTTGGGGGTTTTTTTGGACATAGTGATGCTGGCTCCACCTGAGCTCTCACAGCGTTACATATTTAATAAAAAGGTCATTCGTACGTGTTGAATCCGTAACTCTTCTTTAAAATCGGCAACTAAAATTTCTCCAAAATGCAGCATGTGTAGCCGCTCCCAAGAGTATCGGTTTATTGCTCCAATGCCTGAATAAGACACTGATATTTCCTCTAGATAATAACTAACACCTTGGCTAAATTGTCAGTATATTTCAGAATTGCTTTCATCCGTCGCAGAAATAATTTTTAACAACTTATCGTGTGAACAAGCTTTTTTTGATTTAATTTCCTATTTAATGGAAACTCATCAATTATGAAATTGTTTTTTTTCAACATTAATAGAACAAAGACAAAAATTTGTGCAGATTTGTAATGGAAACACTGCTATGGAGATCCACTCTGCACATGCCTTCTCAGACTCTCTGTGGTAGAAACCACAGCAAACCAGTTGAAGGTTTATCTAGCTTTGTCTTTCTTTGTCCCGAATTTCCATTAAACCGCAGGTGGAACGGTATGCTTCTTTTGTATTCAACCCTGAGTGTTTGCATATTTATTTACTAACACTTGTGATGATTTTTGACTCATCAAATCACACATAATGCTGAAAAATAGCTGTGTCTGTGGATGGTTTAGTGGAGAGCATCCACACTTCCCAAATCACCTGCTTTTATTGTTGGTGTTCACTTGTCTAATGAGAAAAGTATGTTAAATTTCCACATAATTTCAAAGAAGAAAGCTGTTTTCCTCTTGCAGATTAAGTGATTTAATAGACTGGATTCCTACACTGCTTGGGTGCATATGGAACGAAACGCAGTTGAGATCCGCAGATCAAGTCCATTGAGTCAAGTGAAACAAACATGTGGCTTGCGAGAACGACAATAGGAGGAGGGTCTGGGGTGCATGGCTGACCTTTTCTGAAGCAGTTTGGGACGCATTCGAGCGTTCTGCTCCAACAGAGGCTGTTGGGGTAATTATCTGCCACGGTGCACATGTTGCACTGCGTTTGTCAGAACGGGTATCGGTCAGAACTGCTCATGTTTATAGGTGAGCATGGAATTGTGTTGCAAATGTGATAAAATATCTGTGCCGCTCGCTTCTCTTCTTCGGTCCACGCTTGTACATTTGATTTTTTTGTACATCCACTTTTCTACACTCCAGTGTGGCCTTCATCAATTCAGATACACCCTGACGATTTTTCATTTGTTCTCCAAAGCTCAAAGACTGGCTGTGGGCCTCTCAGAGCAGGAGACCGGCTTGAGGAACAGGCCAAGGAGCCATCTTGGACATGGGATAAAGGGGCCCAACGGCACAAAGCCCCATTCCCTGCTCCTCCATGTGGAAAATGGCAGGAGCAAGAGGAGGAGGGGAAGGAAGAGAAAGAAAAAAAAAGCAGAGGAAAGAGGAGGAGGGAGCAACAATTAGTGGGATCTTCTAATCACCAGGGCAACACTCATTTAATTGACATGTGAAATCTGAATTCATCTAACAAGTCGATAGGCACCACGACAATGGAGCAGTTTAAGTCCAAGGTCTGCTGGTGGAAGCACGGGAGGGGAAGCGGCAGCTGAGGGATGAGGCCACGCTCTTTGTTAACGGTAGCAGCGCTGCTGAGTGGGAAGGTTGTCCACGTGGAGATTATAACGCATTATGTCTTTGACCCTTCTCCATTGCAGCACTTAGCTGCTAACACAGAGCAGGTATGTTCCAGCAACAGGTTTTTTTTATTTGTGAATTATTTTCTGCACAACCCAGAGGGAGTAAACAACAATTATTTTTACCTCTGTAATATCAAGCCTAATACTTCCAATGGCTTGAAAAAGGAGAAAAAAAAAACACCAAAAAGAAATGGATGGGGGAAGGGGGTAGTTATCTGCTCATTCCCACTTCTACAGAAATCAATAAGTTATTTAAGGTCATCAGAAAGAAGCATCACTGTCAATGTGCTGCTGCTGGAAGTGAAAATACACCACACTCGCTGCCACTCCGCAGGGAACTTGGAAATAATCCATGTCTTTTACCCTTATGATTATTGTAACAGGTCTTTAAACGGTGAGATTTTGGGGGGTTTCTGCAGAAAAAAAAATCATGCAACCTGTGATAAATATGTTTCTCACACATAATTACATGGAGGAAAACAGATTTTTCTGGGTCTAACACCAGGGCAGGGGTTGCAGGTAAATTACTGGCTTAGACTTTTAATGTGAAGGTAGATCAAATAATTAGTAGATTTTGGAGGGCTCAGTTTAACTGCATTGAGTAAAACTGACAGGAAAATCACTATGCTATTTTGAACTTTGCTAATAGGGACAGATTTAATCTTACACCTATAAGTGGATGACATGTTTCAATTAAATTCAGGACTGGGGACGATGGAAGCAGATGCATTGTATCTCTCAAACCACAGTGTTGATTTAGAAATTTATTTTGAAATAATATACCTATATATATTATGGCTATTCGGGTTTCTAGCAGGGGACACAAGGTTTTATTTTAAATCTTCTTATTTCTCAAAAAGAAACAATCGGTTCTCCTCGTTACCCTGGACATTACATGGTTTCATAACATATTTATTAAATGTTTTAGGCTTGACTGCCTTGAGTTTTTGGTGCTGAAAAGTTATTTAATCTCATTTGACCAAAGAATATGTTAAATTTCCATCTCAGTTGATCAAACTTCACATGTTTACCTTTGTGATGGTTGGGCAGAAGATGCTTTTCTGGGGGGACATCAAATCCCAGCAGCTATTTGGCACAGGGATCAAAGTAAATGGTCATCAGGGAGATTTAGTGTCCAAGTTGTTAATCCTTGTTGCAGTTCTCTTGTAGTTGGGTTTGGAGAAAAATATCTGTTATTTAGTTAAAATGTGCCATTTCTTAAGTTTTTCTCCACTCACTGAATGTACTCAAGTGAAAGTCTGGATGTCTCTAAAATGTTCAAGATTATGCTTGCAATGAAAAAATGAATTAAATGTAAAGGTTTTTAAGCAGATTTTCCAGGAGTGCCGATGGGAATACATGTGCAGAGTGTTTGTGCTGCACAAATCCAAAAAGATTTCCTGTAGAACTACCAGGGAAAAAAATTCAGCCCATAATAAGAGCTAACCTTTTTCTTTTCATTCTCTTTCTCTGTAAACATGTTTCTGCATATGAATCACAATATATTTAAAGTTGAAAATCAAAAATTAACCAAATGTCAAAACTAAGAAATGATGCACAAGTTTATGAATCTTTAATCAAAACTCTTTTTGATTAAAATGCATTACTGGACAGAAATCCTTGAAAAAGAGGAGGAGATCAAACATATTTTATCTGGTGGGACACTTCAGGATTACTAATAACAGGTCCAGCAGTCTTAAACTTAACTTAAAGTCTTATGCTGCATTGCAGCAAAGGCTTAAGACAACCAGGGCCAAGCTGTTGGGGTGCAGATGTGTTATAAGATCAACTTTAGCGACTGGCTCTGTCTCTGTGGCATCAACTGTTGCCTGAGTTTCTGACTGGTTTCCAGTAAAGCTCCTCAATATTATTTGTGCCAAATTCAAATCATGCTGATGATTTTGTCTCTTTGCCATTTTATTCCTGTGTATTCCCAGTTGTTTCATACCCAGCATTTTTGTATGTAAAGTTTAACCCACATTCCCTGCTGTTATGTGTTATGTACCTACAAGCAGTGTTGTTTATTTATGTTTTGCTTAGATGTTACAATCACTATCTTTTTTGTAAGAATCAACCATTCACAGATGAAGCTAAATTCCTCCTTTAACTCAAATATGCTTCTAATTTGCATTTAATGGGTTGTTATAAAAAGTCTGCCTGTATTTATTTTGAGTCTCTTGTGTTTTTAAAAACTGACACAAGGTTTCTTTTGTGCTTAACCCCATCAGATACAGTCTGGACTTCTCTGGCACCTGTGTGTCACGTCATATGTCTTAGGTGAGTCACAACTACAAAGACTTAAACATTGTAACATTACCAAGCTTGGTATGTCCTTAATCCTGGATATTTTCCACATACTTTGACCTTTATATTTGGTCTGGGTTGTAAAAAGTCCATTCACAATACTAACACTTACGCTGCCCTTTAGTTTGAGTTTTGTCCTTTTGATTTTGTGCTAACAGACAGATCTATTGTCCATGGTGACTTCGTTGAAGTGGCAGAGAGTAAGAGGGGGACTCAGGATACTTCTAAGTCTTTCAGCCAGAGTGTAATCCTCTTCCTTTATCATACAGGCTGATCTGGTTGTATGTGAATGACTGCTCTGGTTGTCTCTAGCTCTTAGTCACGTTTCCTTTCACACTCTTCCTCTCTAATTCTCTCTTGTTTGTCTTTTGTTGTGTCACTCCATTGCTCACTGATCAACGCTTCTTCAGTGTTCACCTCATTTTTGTTTTGTGTGTGGAGGCAGCTGTTATCTCTGTGAGAAAAAAGAGAAATCCGAAATGTTCCTTTCCAAACAAAAAATAAATACATACCTTGATGCAACTTTGCACCACTCTGGAGACGGGCAACTTGGATTGTGTCCAAAAATCACAGCTGGAATGGTGTGTATTTACAGTGAATATGTGTGTTGGGGGATGGGAAGTGGGCTGCATCTGGGACGTTTGATTGGTCCGCTGGCATTGGAGCCAGACAAGATGCTGATTGGATAGTTGGATGTAGACTAGCGTGCAGGTTTCTCTGTGCCATGAAGCTTTGCCTCCCAGAGTGCCGGCCAATAGCTCCACATATTGGATGCATTACAGATTAGATCCAGTGCAACTGTATCCACATGAATGTGTGTGTATGTGTGTGGGGGGGTGTGTGTGCGTGTGTGTGTGTGTGAGTTTGTGTGCCTACACATCTCATTTCTGCAAGAGCACTTTTATCCTCAATGGACAAATCTGCTCTGCCTGCATGATCACAAAATGCATTTGCCTCTTCTAGACTAATCATTAATTATTAATCTCAAATTTGATTCGCCGTCCCAGATCGATGGAGCAGCTACACACTTTTATAAGCTCAAGACTTGCTCCAAAAAAGATTTCAAGAGATCAATATGCAGTAACTTATTGCCAATTTCTCATGATAAGGTGCTGTTCTTAGCATTCATAGCAACTTCATGCTCAAATATATGTAATTTTCATCGCAACTGCAGTAATGAGAAGAAATGATGGAAGCATTCATTGATATTTTGAGATCTGTGTGAAACAAATTTTTGTTTGGTGAATCATGATTGAAGCTGTATCAAAATAAAAATATTAGAGTTCAAGAATTTCATATTTTCATCAAACTGAATTTGATTGTAAGGAAAAATGGTAACAAATGGAGTCAAAGGAATGTATTGTGCATGAAAGTGGTTATTTTTTTAGTTTTTATTGAATAAGGCTTTGTATTTAAAAGAATATCCACCAAATACTGAGATTTTCTAAGTAGGGAGAGATTGTTGATTGCAAACTCCTTCAGATAATTATCAGTCCATTACAGATTTCTCAATGTGAAACAAAACCCCCAAAAACTCTTGTATGTTGTATCATTTTGTGTCTTGACATTCATAGCTGCTTATTAAAAAAAACATGTCCTGCATAAAGTGAAGCGGATTTTGTAGAACAAGTTTTATCATGTCATTAAAGGACATTTGATGTTCTCTCATCCTAAAGAGTGCCTGCTTATTGGGATCCAGGATGTGGGATTCACAGTGTTCTGCTGAGGTTGGACTGGGCACATTACAGGGTATCATTTTATTTCTTGTTTTCATACTGAAGGATCCATTGACAATTCTGGAAATAAAACTATAGTGCTCTTTGAGTGCCCATCAAAAGGCAGAGAAAATATTAACTATAAAAGAAAAACTCCGTTTCACTTTAAGTTTCGGGCATTTGATATGCTGAGTCGAGTAAATAATCTCCAACCTACATAGCATAGCATGAAACAATGTAATATTATTATTTAGTCTTAGCTAAGATATCTGTTCAGCGTTGATGGTGGTGCTCCAATTTTGTCAACAAGTCTAAAACATCCAGGATGGTTTGGCATTTTAAGATATCAAATTGTAGCTTTTTACAGCTTATTATACTTCTTCTCCTTTCCTGCGGGTTATTTGAGCTTTTTTTATTTGTGAATGTTCATATATTCTCACATATGTAGACAGCTTAAAAAGAAACCCTGTCTTTTCAGCTGAATGATGAAAGTGTTTAGAGAAGGAGGCCACTGTGGTGGATACCTAAATTGACCTCTCTGAGATCCATATCTTTATTTATATCGAATCCACAGCACACGTCTGCAGAGGCTGGTTAAGACACTAAGCAATTATTTCAGCAATTATGCTGTGTTGCAAGAGAAAATACTTTTTATGATGGTGGATGGAAATTTGTGACCCAACAGCCAGGAACATTATTGTTTTCCTTAAGAAGATTTTGTCCAATGTTCCAATTTCTACTTTTGTTTTTAAGCGTTCCTTGCTTTTTCTTTCTGAATCGCAACAACATAACTACAGTACAAAAAAACGTACGGTAACTTACAATAATTGTTATCTAAATGTTAGCAATAATTTACAAGAGAACATCTTTCAGAGTTACTGTTATGCTCACAAAATGATAAAATAATTAATTGTTTTATCTGAACATAATGAAACACGGACATGTCATTCTGATCTGATGGCACCGACATTCATTGACATTTACTGTCATTTACTTTTGAGAAATGAATTAATTATTTTGAGAAATTTACTTCATAAAACTTGTTGAGAATGATTCGAGATATGCAGCAAAGCAACTGAGAAAAACTGTAAGAGGAAAATGAAGTAATGACAACATTCAACTGAAAAGCAAATGGAATTTAATTATTCAATCAGAATTTAAAAGGATTTCCATCAGAAAACTTAAATATGTAAAAAAATGGATGATGTAAAATTATGCCTCCACTGCTATAAAATTATAAATTTCTTTGAAGTTAATGAACTAAATTGTTCTTAGCCAATGAAAACACAAAATCATTGAAGCTCTCCTTTTACCTTTGACATAATTCAATCTAAATGTCATATTATGTTTAATATTTCCTCACTTAAGTTTAGGTTGTCACTTTGGTTGGATATTTATTTGGTCAGACCCTCTTGCTGCAGATCCTGCCATGTTTACTGGTTTCTCCACTCATTGTTTGGACCTTTTCTTCCCCAGTTTCAGAAATTTATCTTCATAAACTGATTCAATTTGCATCTTGCCAGTCTTCGCCCTGTGATTTACCTCAAACGTGACACTTAATGGATGCAATTTATTTAATAGATTTTGGAATATTTTACAAAATACAAGACAAACTTTCAAAATTATTGCAGAGGAAATATTATTTTTTTTACTGTTCGTATCGTTTTTTTATTCCATAAAATTGTGGCACACTCATGTCAATGAGTAACAGGATAGCTGTAAAGCTTTGACATGTGTAATGTGTCCTGACACCCAAGCAATCTCTCTACTGCATAAATTGAGCATTTTGTAATAATCTGTAGCTCTAGTCTTATTTATTGCTTAATTGCATAATATCATTACTGTTATAGCTCTTGCATAGTTTTTTCTTGCGCATTTATTGTGTTTGTTTTAAAATAATTTTTTATCACATGAATCTTAAGCCATCACACCACTGCTGCAGAGTTCTGCCTAATTTCCCTCCAAACTCACATAATACCAACAATAAAGGATTCAGTGGTGTATAAAACCACTTTAGTAATTGTAAAGTAAGCAGCAGTCGTGGGCATAAAGATGTACAAGAATTCCCTTTTAGGGTTGTGTTGATCTTGAAGTGCTCAGTTGTGTAGTTTGCTAAATAAAATCTGTAGCTACTGTACAAACATTGGGGAATGATTATGTCTTTATCCTCGATATTCACGGTTGAGTCCTGATTACAATAAAAAACAGAAAGAAGTTCTACATTTCATCAAAGTTGGATACAAAAAAAGCAGCAAAAGCTCTGGGAAGCTGATTATCATTCGTTCCCTTGACCTTTGCAACCTGGTGTTCATTAGAGAGTTAAAAATAAAGTGAAATAGAAAGGCAGCAAAGGAAATTTAAGAGTAGGCCTCAGAGAAGTGGAGAAAGGACACATTAAGAATCCTGATAAACAGGAACTGCCCTCCACTTAGACAGTTTTTCCTTTCAGAGCTCTAACTCTGTTATTACACTTGTCACAGCAACACTACAGTTGCAGCAAGTGTCAGGCTCAATCACCAAAGCTAACAATACAGGAGACAGACATGCATTAAGGATTAAATAAAATGTGGCCATAGTTGGACGTGCTGCCCATATGGAGATGCAGAAACAGAAGAACAGACACACATAAATATTCACACTCAAAAACAGTTGCACCATCCACATGGCTGCACATGCTACACAGTCACTGCACGCTGAACGCGTGGCAGCACCGTCAACCCCAGACGGCTCTCCACTGCCCACCTGTCATAAAAACCTGAGAGCGAAAAATCACCTGGCTTGTATCTCTATCGTCTACAGTTCTTAGTTTAGCTTTTACCAGCCATCTGGCTCAGCAGCTCCGCTCAACCTCCTCCTCCTCCTCCATCCCATCTCCCCTCTGCCAAAATCTTTCCTAACTCTCACTCGCTTTAGTCTTTTTTAAAGCATGTCAGCAGTTAACCGGCACAGCGGTCTTAGTGAGGCTGCTAACGTGGCTAAGTGTCCCTCTGCCTCTTTGCTGGTGCTGTGGTACTGAGTGTGTGTTTGTGTGTGTGTGTGTGTTTCACAGATGGCAATGGGAGGGGAGGGAAGGCTGGAGGGGGTGATGGAGAGAGCTGTCTGAGGCTCCGGCAGCTCTCAGGCAAGGCGGTCTGTCTGCGGGCATCTGCACTGGCAGCCCCTCCAGTCCTCCCCTTCACCCATCCAGCACCGCTACCTCTCCAGCCAGCGCCACAGCTTGGCAGCCGCCCGACAGTGAGGCTTGATTGCTGCAAGATA